AAAAAAATATATATATATATATATATATATATATATATATATATATGTTTTCCAAATTTAGCAATGAAGATGATCGAAACTTTTTTTTCCATGCAAAAATTGAGAAATAATGACAGCTAGAGTTTAATGACAAACTTGCCTTTTTGAACATGTATACAAACCCAGCAGATTTTGTGAACATGTCAAACCTGTGATTTTTTTCCCCCCTGTAATTTAAAAAAAATTTTTATACAATTTTTAAAGGTTGTACTCCATTTACAGTTATTACAAAATATTGGCTATATTTCCCATAGTCAACATTTCCAATTTTTGAAGGCATAGCCCCAGAAAATAACTATGTGTTTAGTTGTTTTGTTTTTCTTGCCTCCTTTTTTTTTTAAACTGATCCAATTGGATGACATTTCCAAGAATCCAAAACTAAGCTCCTTTTCTTCTTTTTTTTAAAATATAAATTTATTTATTTATTTATTTTTGGCTGCGTTGGGTCTTTGTTGCTGCGTGCAGGTTTTCTCTACTTGCGGCTAGTGGGGGCTACTCTTCGTTGCGGTGCGCGGGCTTCTCATTGCGGTGGCTTCTCTTGTTGCGGAGCACGGGCTCTAGGCGCACGGGCTTCAGTAGTTGTGGCTTGTGGGCTCTAGAGTGCAGGCTCAGTGGTTGTGGCGCACGGGCTTAGTTGCTCCGCTAGTTGCTCCGCAGCATGTGGGTTCTTCCCAGACCAGGGCTCGAACCCGTGTCCCCTGCATTGGCAGGCAGATTCTCAACCACTGCGCCACCAGGGAAGCCCTCATTTTCTTCTGAGGAATGAGAAATTATGTAAAATACCTCACATTATTTTAAGGCATAGAGGACATATACAAAAGTAACAGTAAAAAGACTAGGTATGCTGTCTTTGGTGAGCAGTGTTTGATGGCAAGAAATAGTTCAGCATTGGAATTTGATCTTCGTACACAACTCAGCTCCAGCATTTGGGCTAGTTTTACAACCTCTCTAAGTCTCAGTTTCCTCATCTTTAAATCACAGTACCAGCAACTTTATTGGGTTGGTCCAAGCATTAAATAAGATAATGAAGGGTAAAGGGTTTGCCACCAGGTTTGTAGTCCGTGCCAGCTGTAGGTTTTCTTTGTTTGTTTGTTTGTTTTAACATCTTTATTGGAGTATAATTGCTTTACAATGGTGTGTTAGTTTCTGCTTTATAACAAAGTGAACCAGCTGTACATATACATATATCCCCATATCTCCTCCCTCTTGCGTCTCCCTCCCACCCTCCCTGTCACACCCCTCTAGGTGGTCACAAAGCACTGAGCTGATCTCCCTGTGCTGTGTGGCTGCTTCCCACTAGCTATCTGTTTTACACTTGGTAGTGTATGTATGTCCATGCCACTCTCTCACTTCATCCCAGCTTACCCTTCCCCCTCCCCGTGTCCTCAAGTCCATTCTCTATGTCTGCATCTTTATTCCTGTCCTTCCCCTAGGTTCTTCAGAAGCAGGAAAACTGGACAGCTACATGTACAAGAATGAAATTAGAACACTCCCTAACACCATACACAAAAATAAACTCAAAATGGATTAAAGACCTAAATGTAAAGCCAGACACTATAAAACTCTTAGAGGAAAACATAGGCAGAACACCCTGTGACATAAATCACAGCAGGATCCTTTTTGACCCACCTCCTAGAGAAATGGAAATAAAAGCAAAAATAAACAAATGAGACCTAATGAAACTTAAAAGCTTTTGCACAGCAAAGGAAACCATAAACAAGGCGAAAAGACAACCCTCAGAATGGGAGAAAATAGTTGCAAACGAAGCAACTGACAAAGGATTAATCTCCAAAATTTACAAGCAGCTCATGCAGCTCAATATCAAAAAAATAAACAACCCAATCCAAAAATGGGCAGAAGACCTAAATAGACATTTCTCCAAAGAAGATATACAGATTGCCAACAAACACATGAAAGGATGCTCAACATCACTAATCATTAGAGAAATGCAAATCAAAACTACAATGAGGTATCACCTCACACCAGTCAGAATGGCCATCATCAAAAAATCTAGAAACAATAAATGCTGGAGAGGGTGTGGAGAAAAGGGAACACTCTTGCACTGCTGATGGGAATGTGAATTGGTACAGCCACTGTGGAGGACAGTATGGACGTTCCTTAAAAAAGTAAAAATAGAACTACCATACGACCCAGCAATCCCACTACTGGGCATATACACTGAGGAAACCATAATTCAAAAAGATCGAGTTGTAGTTTGTTTTTTTTTTTCTGCGGTACGCGGGCCTCTCACTGTTGTGACCTGTCCCGTTGCGGAGCACAGGCTCCGGACATGCAGGCTCAGCGGCCATGGCTGACAGGCCCAGCCGCTCCACGGCATGTGGGATCTTCCCGGACTGGGGCACGAACCCGTGTCCCCTGCATTGGCAGGCGGACTCTCAACCACTGTGCCACCAGGGAAGCCCTCGAGTTGTAGTTTTTACATGTGTAAACTTAAACTGTCATGTCGATAAGCTGTCAGGAAAAGGCAGCAATCTCTGGGAAAAGAAACGCAAATCGTCTTTAATGACACTGTAGTCTGAAAGATCCGATTATACCGTTCTGTATAAAATAGTCTAAAGGATTTTTCTGTAAAAATACTTGAACTGAAAAATATAAATCTAGTAAAATTATTCATTATTTTCAGCTTGTTTGATTGCAGGTTTGCCAACCTGAATAGTGATACTTAAATATTGACATGTTCTTTATGATTGGGTAAATTAACATGACAGGTCCCATCATTTGCTGTCTGTCTGTTCTAAACCCCACCGCTGAATCTCAAGGTATCCCTCTCTCCAGTAAGATCACCCACGTCTCTTGCACTTTCAGTCTGAAAGCTTGGACCTTTGCACATACTGGAAAAACTTGATCATTTCAAATTTCTGTTACTAAAAACTTACTGCTTTTAATAAAGTATATGTGATTTAGAGTCATAAAAATGTTGCCTTCCTTGAGAAATGAAATTCAAGTGTAAATTTGTATGGGCACATTTTCAGAAGTTAAATATTTTAGAAATTTGGTGCACTTTCTTAGATTGAGAGGAATTGTGGCTGGACTTCATGCAGAATGGTCTTTTTATTTGGAACGGTTTTGGTTCATGATTTCTCTCCCTGACTTTTCTAGAAACGATTGGAACAGCAGAAACCTACAGTAATTGCAGCTTCCACTACTTCCCCAGCAAACAGTACAACTAGTACCATCTCTCCAGCACAGAAAGTTATGGTGGCCCCCATAAGTGGCTCAGTTACAACTGGCACTAAAATGGTACTAACTACTAAAGTTGGATCTCCAGCTACAGTAACATTCCAGCAGAACAAGAACTTTCATCAGACCTTTGCTACCTGGGTTAAGCAAGGCCAGTCAAATTCAGGTACACAACTGTGATTAAATAAAAGATTGCTTTCATTCAAGAAAAAGAAATGTCAGTCCTTTACCTACTGAAATGAAATGTTTCTTTAGAAAATTATTTTTCTTCTGCAGCTGATTGAGCAGACAAACTGTAACAGTAGGTTTGTTACAGATGATATTCATAATATTACATTAGCGAAACTCCTCTCTTACATTATTTCACTTTCAGCATTTACATGGTTCACTTACTTTGAGTGGAGAGGAATGTTTTTCTTAAAAATACAAAATGAGCCACATTTCATGCATTGGTGCCTTCCTAGAAGTCACTACGTTGCTGGTTATTTTAAATCTGAAGCTTATTAAATGTCTTATACCCCATTAGCCACCAGCACAGCTGCCACATCTGCTACAACCATTGCCAGCACAGGTCAGACGTTCCAAATTACAGGCAATCCAGTCACTATGGCAGGAAAAGTAATTACCAAACTGCCACTTCCTGCAAACAGCAAGATTGTCGCTGTAAATGTGCCAGCAACGCAAGGAGGTAAGGGAGATGTGAAGAGTTTTAATTCACATTTGCCAGATCATACTGTTGCCATTATTTTTCATTTCCTTTTCACTGATTTCAGTCTTCGGATCTCACATTTTATGTAGCCCACTATAAACCCCCGCCACACCTGGTTTGTCCTCAGGAACCAAGCAATACCTGATGTTTTATGAAAGGGGCAGTTATCAATTACTTCTTCATCTTTTTTTCAAGGCGTTGTTCAAGTACAGCAGAAAGTCCTGGGTATCATTCCATCCAGTACAGGTACAAGTCAGCAAACCTTTACTTCATTCCAGCCCAGGGCAGCAACAGTCACGATTAGGCCCAATACCTCAAGCTCTGGAGGAACCGCAAGCACTTCCCAAGTAAGAGTTCTTTACAGGTTTGTTTGGTGTTAACCACATTGGTTGAAGTTTTTTGAATGGCCTCTTCCAGGATTAATCCAGCTTCTAATTTTTCTTTACCTTTCACTTAATCTGTGACAAAGTACTGATTTTTAAAAAAATCTGTTACTTATATTTCAAGTGAACTGTTAATTTTTAACACTTAGTTAATAGCACATTAGCATAGTTTATGAATCATAAGAATTGCTTTCCAGTATTTTACAAAGAAAATGTCTTTATTGAAAACAATGGGCAATACTGGATCACCCAGGAAAACGACGTGCTGTGCAGCTAAGTAGTAGAGTGAAAACATAACCCACAGCATTAACTAGTCTATCAGCTGATATGCACTCATATTAGATACGTCATTTCCTTGGCACTAGTATTATGGAAAAAGTTTAATGTTTTGCAGACTTGAGAATGTTCTAAACCTAACACTGAAAATAATATGCTGTGTAGTCTCTCCTTTAAATTATGAAAGAACTTCTGGTCTCTGATCTTGCCCCTGTGTACTCCAGGTTACAGATAAGGATTGGAGCTCAGGGAAAATAGGACTCATCATTTTCCTGTGAGCAACTGTGGTGGTTATAGAGCAGAGCTTTCTTGGGTCTTGTATCCTTCCTTTTAGTCTGTAGGCTATTCTTGGTATCAGTGACAAGGAATTTCATGCGATCTCATTTAAATTAGATTTTCTCCCCTCAAAGTTCTATCTTTATTCTGATGCTTAATATAATTTAATATGTAATGTCCAAGAGTTTCTGTAATTTCTGTAGATATGTTTATCAATATGGAATGTTTAGAGATCTCTGTTCTAAGTCCATCATGCTTTAGTCTTTTAAAAACATTTTAATTTGTTGTCCTTTGTGTTATTTGTAGGTAATCACAGGGCCTCAGATCCGCCCTGGTATGACGGTGATTAGAACACCACTCCAACAGTCAACACTAGGAAAGGCAATTATTCGAACACCTGTGATGGTACAGCCAGGTATTCATCCATACAGTATTATCATTTTACATCTAAAGAGTCAGTCTAGGAAATCTATAATATTCGGTATTTGGCACTCTGCATACTGGAAAATACCAATATGAATTTAAGATTTCGAAGCATACTAAATTTCTGATTCATCATGGGATACACCCATAAGATTTTGTTTCATTTCTGGCATTGTCAATAAGAGAAAAGCAGGTCCAAGTATGCTTGTTAAAAATGTTCTTAAAACCTCTAGTAAATGGGATATATACATTCAGATCATTGGAGTAAAGAGAATGAGCAAAGAAAACAGTCTGTGTGGCAAAAGATAAAATCAAGGAAATGGCTAAGAAGCATTTAAATGGAAAGCATAAAACAAAATTACAGAGGCAGTGCCTGCCCTTTTTAATGTAAATAAGTTAAAGCTCCCATATTAAAAGTTGAAGCCTGTAAAGATTGAGTGAAAAAAGAAATCGAACTGTGCATTTATGAGAAACATTCCTAAAAGCAAATTACCACAGAAGGTAAAACATAAAAAGATGGTCAAAGACACATGAAATAAAGGACAAAAAAAGAAAGAAAGAAGGGATAGGCAGAGGGAAGACATGCATAATCCTACTAATATTGAACAGAGTCGAATTCAGTATTTTAAAGAAACAATAACTAGGACAAAGAAAGTCACTTTATATTTGGCTTAAAGATATAGATTGCAGTGAAGGTACAGTCTTGGCTCTCTAAATAGGATGTCATTGAAGTGTATAAAGCAAAAGCTATTTGAAATCAAGGAGGGATTAGCAGAAGCATAGTAGACCAGAAACAGACTGTATCAACTTTTGTACCTTTAGGAATACACATTAGTTTTAAATATTTATGAGCTATTTGTATGAAAATGGTCTTATAATGAGCCACAGGTAAAACCTTGATGAATTCCAAAAAGTAGAATGTGTATAGGCTACATTTTTTATAGTAAAGCTAGAAATTAACATTAAGGTATTATACTAAGAACGCTTACTTGCTTGGAATTTAAAAACGTATGTTCTCAAAAGTAACTTTTATGTTAAAGAAACATCAAATGTGTCATCACAAATAGATTATCAAGTAGCAGCTAAGCCAGGCTGCAAAGCTGAACTGAGAGGCAAATTCATTCATTCAACAAATATTTTTGAGCACCTACTCTAGGCAGTTGAAACACATTGGTGAACAAAACAGGCAAAAAAAAAAAACCCGTATTAAATCTTAACCAGAAGTTGGAAAAATATATAAAACAAGTCTTAAATGAAAACAGGAAGAAGGAAGTAAAGTATAAGTAATGATTATAAGACAGAAAAGGCAAATATTAAACCATTTTTTTTTGTAAGTCTAGAGAAAGGGGAACAAAATGCTAGTTTACAAAAAGTAGGAATGAGAAAGTGCAATAAAAATAGAAGGAACTAAATCTGTTTGGCTAACAAGGCATAATTATATACTATGCTTATAAATTTCAGGTCTTAATGACTCACATCAAGGAAAGAAACTTGGAAAGTTGCCATAGTATTACCTACAAAAAAGAATTCCAGACCTCATGGTTTTATGGATAAAATTCTTCGAAATGGTTAGGAAACAATTTCCTTCTTATAAAAAATAGTTGCAGGCCATAAGGGGAAAGGGGTAGATAAATTCTTTCCCATTCATTTTACAAATTTAGCATAATTCTAATATGAAGCATAGCATAGTATTTTTTTAAAGGAAATATCCTAATGCCTAAGCAAAATTTACCCCAGAGAAGAAAGTATGATTCCTTATTTCAGTTAATGCTACAGAGACAATTGGTAAAATTCAGTATCTATTCATGTTTAAAAGTAGCTGTCAGTTAGGCAGGCAACTAAAAGGAAAGATAAAACTAATGTAAAGAAGAAAAGTTTATGGATGATAAATGGTAATATACTTAGACTTGCATATGTGAATATATAGCTTCACATATGAGTGTGTCTGGTGTGTCATATGAAAAGCAAGGTGGCCAGTGAGGCTGGTGGGGCCCAGTGAAGACAGTAAGAGTCTTAGGAGTTGTGGTCAGAGAGGTAGAGGGTGGATGGATGTGTGTAGTGTGTGTCTGAGTGTGTGCAGGTCAACTTATCCCTATTCCTACCACCACGCTAGCCTTTCCCAAAGTTGAACACTCCCAGGTTGTAATAAAAAGTGTTTTAATTTTTGAATTTTGATGATAATCTAAACATAATTGAACATGTACATATTGGGGATCATCTGAATGACCATCATATAATCAGTCAATACCAGCCCTTTTATCCATCTGTGTTTATGATGACACCATATCAATACAAGGTGATATAAGGATGTATGTATACATATAGCTGATTCACTTTGTTGTACAGCAGAAACTAACACACTGAAAAGCAATTATAGTCCATTAAAGATGGAAAAAAGAAAATACAAGGTGATAAACGGAAGTAACTTTTCATTAACTGTTCCTCAAACTGCAGTACAAGGACAGAGTGTTGGGGTCCAGAAGTTCTCAACTTCAAGCACTTGTCTATATGTACTGTACTGTTGTTTGGTTCATCTTGAAGAATAAGTGGACAACAATAACCAAGTAAAGTTTAGAAGAAAGAGTAATGATGAAAAACTTACACTGCCAGTTTCTATAGCATATTTACAAGCCACCAGAATTTAGGAGCATGATACCAAAGGAAAGTAGACCCACTGAAGTAATGCAGACACTGTGATGCTATCATACTATTTCTGATTGCTGGAATGTGATACTTTAGTGATTAGGGTTGGAAAGGGTTCAGTGAAATGGGCACCCAGTGGTGATGGGAGTATGAATGGGTATAACCTTTCTAAATTCAATTTAATACTATGTTCCTGCTATGAATCCAGTAATTTTGGGAGGAGTATATTCTAAGGAAATAATTAGAAGCACATAAAAATTTATAAGCAGGGATTTCACCAGGGTATTATTTAAAAAAAGAAAAAGGGAAAGGGTTCTAAATGTCAAAATAGGTTTAATTTTATACATAATGCAATAATATTAAGCACCGGTCATTTAAAAAAATATACACAGAAATATATATGTAGACATATGAGGAAAAACAGGAAGTGAATACAAAATTTCAGAAATATAATATTTACTAATTAATAATGAATTCAGATTTTATAAGTGTAAAATTAGCTGCCAAATAATTACCACCTGCTTTTTCTTCTAGTTTCATCAGGTTAAATGAGAAACAGAAGTTTTTAGAAGACTATGGAGCCATTTTAGTTAAACTTCATTCATTCTATAGATGTTTATTCAACAGTAACTATGGAAGCACTTGTTGAGCACCTTGCTCTAGTATTGAGGATACAGGGGTTCTTGCCCTCTTGGTTCTCCCCAACTAAGTAGCAGATAGCTGTAAGAAAAACTCATTTCTAAATATAATTGTCCCAGAATATTCCAGATTCTAAATGTTTTCTTTAAAAATCACGTAAATTAATTATTATCTTTTCATTTATATTCCTATGGAAAGGCAGCCTAATGGCACATTTTACATAGGCTCTTCCATCTTCCCTATTGTCATTTTGGCTTTAGATTCATAGGAAGAGCATTATTATTATTATTATTATTATTATTATTATTATTATTATTATTATTTTGACTACTGCAGAGAGCAGGAAT